TATAAAAAATACATTTCTTTAATACTCAAGAACCCAACAAGAAACGTGTTCCAATTGTGGTTAACAAAAACAGCCAAGGGTTGCACTAGACCAAAGAAAAATATCTATAAAGTTGCCAAAAGAAAATGTCAAGATTAAGAATTGTGAACGTTTCTAAAATTCCGCAGATGACAAGCAAAAAATTTAAAAAGGGAATATGAAATATCAAATTAGCACAAAACATATAGTAAGAAATTCTGTAACAGTACTTCTCAAATTTTTCTTGACTGTGACTCCACTGTAAGGTTTTAAAACTTTTGTGACCCCTTGCTGAGTGGTAGGCGAGATGCAAAAGTTCTACTCAGGCAAGGATGAAGCTGGAGGATGGGGGGGATTCAGCTATCCTGCCTCAGAACTTGCAACTCCAAAATTTCTGTTCACAATCCCACTGATGGAAGCCGGTTTACAGGCACGTAAAAGAAACTCAGAAGAAAGAACATTACAGCGCAGTACAGGCCATTCGGCCCTCGATGTTGTGCCAACCTGTGAAGCCAATCTGAAGCCCATCTAACCTACACTACTCCATTATCATCCATATGTTTATCCAATGACCATTTAAATGCCCTTAAAGTTGGCGAGTCAAAATGGTGTTAAAGTACCTGCAGCGTTTTCTGTTTTTAACGTGTGGAAATCCATTGATTTTTGTCTTAAATGTAGTCAACAACTGAGCTTCCACAGTGTTATGGACAGAATTTCAAAGATTCACCACCAACTGAGTGAAGAAATTCCTCTTCATCACAATACTAAGTAGTCTGCCCCTTATCCTGGGGGATCATGAGAAAAAGGTATCATTGGGTAGGTCCTGCTGTTTATGAAATGGAATAGATGGATGATCCTCACGTTATGATCTGTCACGTGAAGAAGGGCCACATTAGTATGGAGCCACACCCTAGCAACTGTTCACGCTTGCATTTGAATGCAAAGGAGAAAGCTAAAGAACCTGACACCTGGTTCTACACCCACAACCAGGAGAATCTTCTTTTCCTCCACCTTCCCTGTTGAACCACTGAAAAAAAAATTTTTGTACGTTTGAATGAGATTATCCTTACTCTAAACCCGAGAATGTAGCCCCAACCTGTTTAATATTCCATTATTGTTCAAAAAAATCTATCCCAGGAGTTAGTTTGCTCCCACTCAAGAAATGTATCTTTCCTTGGGCAAGGAAGTCAAAACTGTACTCAATACATAAAGTATGGTTTCACCAGCATTGTATATAATTGCAGTGAAACATATTTGCTTCTAAATTCAAATTCTCATGAAAAAGGATACCTGGCTTGTCTTGGAGTTCACACTTGCCCAGCCTCTTCCTATTTAAGAAATACTGTTTCAATTTTTCCTACCAATATGGATGATGTCTCTCTATATTTTATTCAATTTGCCGATTCTTGCCCACTCCGTTGCCTTTCCAAATACCCTCAAGTGTCTTTACATCCTCCCCACAACTCTAATTCCCACATAGTCTTGTTATTTTGAAGCTCTGGAAATATTACGTTTAATCCCCACTTTAAATCTTTGATATTGATTGTGAATAGCTGGGACCCAAGAATTCGTCCTTGCAGTGCTGCACTGGATACACACGACCAATTACATTTATTCCTACTATTTTCTTTCTGTTATATGGTTTTCAATCCACAGCAACATTTCCTGTAATCCCATGAGCTTTAATTTTGCTTACAAACCTTTTATGTGGGACTTTATCAAAATAAACGAAATCTAAAAATACTATATCCACTGATTCCTCTACCTTTTGCGGGTTTGTCAAACATGACTTCTCTCAAATTCATGTCAACTATTCTACCGTTACTTTTGGTTGTCAAATCCTTCATAATAGATTCTAGCATTACTAATATTTATCACTAGTATTGCATTTTTTCTAATTCCTTTCTTGCAGTTGCTCACTTACATTAGTTCATAGATTCTCTAATTATTTCTAGGAGGTTTTTTCTATTTTCCTCCATGAAGACAGATGCAAAGTACTTAAATTTCTTTGCCACTCTCTTATCAATTAGAAATTCTCCCGACTCTGCTTGTAATGGACTGACTTTGTTTTCCTTGATATAAAGATCAACTATGATCTTTTTGAATAGTGAGTGGGCTCAAAGACTGAAAAGTCTAATGCTGCTATTTCTTATGTTTTTAAAATGGATCATCCCACATTTATCAACAATTGGTGCCTTATTCTAAGTGGACCTTAATAGTTCAGAACTACAGTATACATGTTTTCAATAAGTGATCAGGAAGACCTTAGTTCTTTGAGAAGTTTGGTTCAGGATGACTCTGGATGGAATGTCCACATAATTCTCCATAGAGGATACTTGCAATGATCTATGAAAGCTTGTACCGTAATACTTTATAATCAAATCATTGTTAAAAATTCTAAACAATGGACCTATAGACTGTGGTTAGTATAGAATGAGCCATTTTCCATTCTTTCTGCATGGAACCTGCAAAGCTCATTGACAATCAATATTTATGTGCCTTGAACTAAATTGGTTCAGTGGTTAGCACTGCTGCCTCACAGCACCAGGGGCCCAGGTTCAATGCCACTCTTGGGTGACTGCGTGTGTGGAGTTTGCACAGTCGCTCTGTGTCTGCCCGGGTTTCCTCCGGGTGCTCCGGTTTCCTCCCACAGTCCAAAGATGTGCAGGGTAGGTGGAATGGCTGTGCTAAATTACCCATAGTGTTCAGGGATGTGTAGATTAGGTGGGTTAGAGGGGGAAGGGTCTAGGTGGGATGCTCTGAGGGTCAGTGTGGATTTGTTGGGCTAAAGGGCCTGTTTCCACACTGTAGAGATCCTATGAAAATAGTCATGAAATATGCAGATGTAAGTTCCGAGCATAAACTGATTTTTAAAAAACACATCTGGCTTGAATACAAAAAAAAGTCACTAAACACTTGAAGGTATAATTTTGCATCAAAAACAAATTGCTGGCAAAACTCAGCAGGTCGGGCAGCATCTGTGGGAAGAAAGCAGAGTTAACGTTTCAAGTCTGGTAACTTAAGAACTGTTAGCAGCTGGGGAAGACTGGTATTTATGCTGAAGGGGAGGGGGTCTCCATCTCCAACTCCATCTATCCGTTCACCTCATCTTAAGCATTAATACCACTTTTTCCGAGCTAACAGCTCTGATGAAGAGTCACTGGACTCAAAACGTTAATTGTTTTCTTCCCATACATGCTGCTGGACCTGGCTGAGTTCTACCAGCATTTTAGTTTTGTTTCAGATCTCCAACAGCCACAGTTCTTTGCTTTATTTCAGTATATAATTTTGCAACCTTTTTGGTTTTCAGTAAACATACTATCCCCAAATGGTATTAAATCATACAAAGTGTTTGCATTTTTGGTTAGTGCCAAGTTAGTTAGTCTCAATAGGATACAGCTAGCTTGTTACAATTCGCTTTAGCAATCAGGTTAACAGTTAGGTAATTTAACTAATTTAAAAAACAACCAGATCCCCCTGCAGTAGGCATCTTCAGGAACATAAGTAAAATGAATCAGTGCCATGCTAATTATGCAATAGAACAGATGGATGGTTTTCACTTTGTGGTCTGTCACATGAAGAATGCCTGCTGAGCCACATCCTACTCTTGCCTGCAGTTGGAGGGAAGGGAGAAAACTGGAAACCATTTGCTTCATTTTAGTGAGGGTAGTATTTTGTAGCAAGCAATACAAGAAATAGAGAATATGCAACAGGAGAAATTAGGATTGTGTTACGGATCGATCCAAGTACATGCTTTAGATGCGGTTTCATCCTTCAATATTTTAATTTATAACTAAACTAATGCTATGTACTGATGGCTAAAAGCCAAAAAAAAAAAAAAATCACAACCAGATGATGAGCTGGTCACCCAATGTGTCCATTTTATGCAACAGCAAGATATATGGGTACTTGGTTGATATCTTGGCCACATATGGCTTTTGTAAATTTGTCTTTTCAGTTGTCATTTGTTGCTTGTGCAGTTAGTCAAGATATTTAATTTTATAAATTAGTCAGTGGTAGTATTCTTGCTACTGTGGGTTCAAATCCCATTACAGAGTTTTGAGCTCAAATATCAAACTGGAGTACATTGCTGTATTGTTGAATGAACTTTCTGTTGAGACAAACCCGAGGTTCTTCTGTCTTCTCAGGTAGCTATAAAAGATCCCACAGCATTACTTCTCAGCAGAACTGGAAGTGCTCCCCTGTTCCTTTCCAATATCTATTCCTCAATTACAGAGAGAAAAAAAAATTTCTGGTTGTGGGACCTTGCTATGTACAAATGGGTGACCACGATGCCTACATTACAACAGTAGTTATATTTCAAAGGTACTGTAATAACACTTTTGGATGCCAAAGCTAGCATCTTATTCGGAATGTATTTGTTAGCACAAAAGTTGGAGATGTAAAACTTGGAGTTTGAGCATTCTGTACTTCACCTATTTGTTAAATCATCTACATTTTCTCTCTCCAGCGGTTCCCATTTACTTAAGATTCTTTCATTAGACATTGTCACTGAAACAGAATCGCCAATGCTTTTTTTTTTATGATAACTTTTGTGATAGCTAACAGATTTAGTACTGTGCAGTACTAATCGTGTGCTGAAATAAACTGGGGGAATGGGGGTGGGGGGGTAAGAAAAAGGGTAAAACACAGGGTTAGGAGGGGGAGGTGAGTAATATAGGCTAACACTGTACTAGATCTGTTATTACAACTGTAATTTTAGACTTTGTACAAATTGTACATGTAATCTTAAGACACATGAAAAAGTAACATACTCACAGACATAAAACACCTAGGTATAAAATATAAAGCAGTGTAGTAGTTACTAAAATTACATGCTTTCTTATTGCTACAGTGATTTTTGCTTTTTGTACTGTACCACAACTTGTTCTGAGCATATAATTTGCATAAATTATTCAAGTTTAAGAAAAAATCCACACGTCTTCACTTGATGCTACTGTATAGTTAATATATAAACGAAATTTTCTAAGGTATCTCTTTATTAAAAGAGAAATAAAAATGTCATTTGCAACTGGAATTCTGAGGCCAAATGCAAAGGGTTACACCTTGCTTTGTGTTAACTTTACCAACATTGTACATCTGCTGTTGGTTGGACCAGAGGAGCCAGATCTACCGATGCTCACCATATTCACACAATGCCTACATTTTAAAAAAAATTTAAAGGACTATGAATGACCAAAGACTAACATTTATAATTTGTAGCAAAATTTGGTTTATGTAGAAACAAGCCATGTTTGCATCTGGATAGACTGAAATGAGTTAAAGCTAAAATTAAAAAAAGCAAATGATGCTGCAACGTCTGGTCACTTGTTAAAGACCTCACTTCTTAAGTGGTTAATTTGCACAATTTTGTACTTTCTTTTTAATATACTAAACAGCATTTTTCCTTCTTTTATAAACCAGAAAAAAAACTAAACTACAGATAAATTCCCTACCTTGAGCTAATGCTGCAGATAGGGCTGACAAAGCTGTACAGCGCAATCAAACATACTTACATCTTAGCTCATTTTACAGGTACAGCCATAATCAAGGCACAAAGATCTTCTACAAGTTATTTTCAATAAAGTTGTACAAAATAATACATTTTACAGTCTGTACAAGAATAATAATCCAGAAGTAAAATAAACAAAAATAGAGGGAAGGGAATAGGGGAAGCCAGAATAGACAGGAAAGAAATAAATTGGACTGAAGTCCAGTGAACGAACAAAGCTGAACGATTCATCTGTGGAGAACTAAAACAGTGTGTGTGGTTAATTCTTTCTACAATCACAGGCCAAAAGCAGTTCATCACGTTCTAGGTCCAAGGACTGCCAGACTTTATTTTTTTTTGTTAAAAACGCCCCTCTCAAAAACCAGCGAGGCTTTATCAGATTTCTTTTTTTTGCACTGTTCGGATCTGCAGGGATTCAGCATGTCCATTCCACACCTTGTCAGGCTTGGAATACATCAGAGGTCTAGTCTTCAGCTTGGACTTGGCACCTTCGCATTTTCTGTTGCTGTGAATGGATACAGGATCGATATTATAAGCCCACATCAGCGATGATTACCCTGGAACAAGTTTTCCCCAATTTGTGTGGGTTTTTGATTTAGTTTTGCTTTCTATTCCTTCAAGTACTCCTCGTCCAGGGCATTTGGTTAAGTTTTTTGATTTTGTTAAAGTAGTAGGAAAACCCACATGTAAATGGGCATTTAGGTGATGCCATCTCACACTGTCCAGGGGACAGAAGCAAGCAAGAAGTTCTGCTGTTGTCCGACAGGGAGAAAAGTGGAGGGGTGCATTCGGAGAGAGACCGCACCAGTTCTCTTCCACCTGTGTGGGCAAGTTAAATGAGGAATAAAGAGTCCAATACACAAAGACAAGTGCTCTCCATCACAATAATTCATACTGACGAAGGTGCATACGTTGAATAATGTCCCGACAGTCATTGAACACCCTGCGAATGTTCTCGGTATCCACTGCACATGTGAAATGAGGGTAGCAGTAGTGCCTCCCATCGCCGCTTGCTGTGCTGATTCTCTGTCAGGCAAAAGAAGAGAATGGTTAACCTTCTTTGTAAACAAGATTAAGTCAGTTCAAATAAGTTGCAACAAGGTATTTCACAATTTCTTTTGAAAATGACATCATTTCACTGGTATAAAATAGCAATTCTTCAGACTTTACTGCTTCAGGTAAAAGTTTCATCATACTGTGGCCTTCTTCCAAATACATCTTGCTACATCATCCACTAGAACAATAACACAGGATCCTTTAAGCTGTTCCTTTCTAAGCTGGTTTTGTAAACAGTAAACGGAGCAAATTCTCTTTGCTCCAGGTCTTAGCCTTTAACATATATCTTTTCAAGTTTATGTTTTGTTTTGATCATACTTGAAACAAATCTGTGGATGAAGATTCCTAGCTTATCAAGCTGTTTCTATTGGTTATTCTTCAAAACATGGGATCAGACTTGGTATTTTCCAATGTGTTCAAATAAAGAGCAGGCCCATCTTCAGTAGGGATTCCCATATTTATTACTTCAAGATATTCAGGTAGTGCTGATTACTATTCAATTACATTTCTATATGGATGATTTATGTTTAATAACCATCTATATAGTATATAAAAATGCTTCAAATAGACCTGACAGGGATTTCAACATAAGAGTGGATGCTGAATCAAAGGAAACACTTGGAAGTGTGACTAAAATATTGATCAAAATGTTTCGTATTTTAAATTGACGGTCTTAAAATAGAACGAAAGGGAAAGATTTAGGAAAGTAATTCCAAAGCATGGTGTCCCTGTTAATGATGGACATGGGGATATTTAAGAGGGCAGGTCCAAAACGGCGACAGAGCAGATTCTTGTGCTTTCAGAACAGCAAGACTGGGGACAGCAGCCACAAAGGCAGGAGAGCACGTGATGACAGCATCTTCAAAAGAAAGTGCATTATAGAGTAGGGTCAGCAGTGTCTCAACAGCACAAGAGCCACATATGGGTCAGCAGCTTCCTAAACAGAACAGCAGACCTGCGAGAGAATCGCAATGGTGACAGGAAATAAAGCTAGCAGCAGAAAGCTCTGTCAACTTGCTTCTACCTGTCATCACAGGAAAACGAGATTCCTGGGTATTTCTTCCATGTTACTTTTCAATTAATCAAGTGATTTAAATCAGGGGAGGTTATTTCAGCTGAAGACTTCAGTTAAGCAATCAAAACAAAAATTAACATCCAAAATAATTTATTAAATAGAATAGGAGATGGTCGGGCAGGCAATACATAGCAGCTTAAGTATGTGGGAGCTGATGGATGTTGATGCGGTCTACAGTGACCATATTTGCAACAAGTGCTGATTGCTCAAGGAACTTGGGATCACAGTTGATGAGCTCGATTCTGAGCTGCGGATGTTGCATCACATCGGAAAGGGGAGACGTCATAATCATTATTGGTGGGCCCTCACAGACTGAGATGACTGTCTTCCACACTCTCAAGGTGAGTCTGTTGGTGGCTGTACAGATCAATATTATTACACTTCGGTCAGAAGATGGTCATGGGAAGGGGCGGGTGTGGCAGTGTGCTCCTTTTTCTGTTTTCGCCAGGCTTCAGCTTTTTCCCAATTGCAAGTCTTAAGGTGCTCAATGCCTTCCTGGATGCTTCTCCTCCACTTTGGATGGCTTTGGACCAGTAATTCCCAGGTGTCTGTGGGAATGCCACACTTAGTCAGTGAGGCCTTGAAGGTATCACTGAAGCACTTCCTCTGTCCACCTGGGGCTCCCCTGCTGTTTCAAACTTGGGGAGTAGAGCACCTGCTTGGGGAGTCTTGTGTTGGTCATGTAGACGACATGCCCAGCACATCATAGCCGATCAAGGGTGGTCAGTGCCTCAATGCTGGGAATGTTGGCCTGGTTGAGGACCCTGGTGTTGGTGCATCTTTGTTCCCAGCAGATCCACAGGATCTTGCGCGGGTAGTAATGATGTTCCAGCACCTTGAAGTGCCTACTGTAGGCAGTCCACATCTCATGGCCATAAAGGAGGGTGGGAACCACCACACCATACAACCATGACCTTGGTGTTAAATCTGTTGTTCTCAAACATCCGTTTCCTTAGGCGGCCGAAGGCTACGCTAGCATGTTGAAGCTGATGCTGGATCTCTTCATCAATACCTGCTTTGGCCGACAGGACACTGGTATTGGAAGCCTCCCTGTGGACCTTTACGATTGGGGGTTTGCTCCACAATGCCAGGCCAGGATTGCCAGGATTGATGAAGGGCCTTCGTCTTGCGGATGTTCCATGCTTTCATATGCCTCTAAAAAGCACTGACAATGGTCTAGAATATATCCTCAGAGATTGCACATACACAAGCATCATCCGCATACTACAGAGAGGGGAGAAATACCTGGACATTGTTTCAAGAGGAAGTCAGTAGTAAAAGAGGAAAAGTTAGGCAAACTGATACTGCTGTCTTCAGCAAAGGTAGCCCTGAAGACTGCTTGCTTACCTGGCGAGTTCAGGACATCTCTTCTGGATTGGACAGGAACTGGAAGGGGAAGGAGGAGGAACCAGGTGTCATGGTCCTATGCGGTAGGAACCAACAATATTGGTAGGACTAGGAAAGAAGTTTTACTGAGATTTTGAGCAGTTTGGGGCTAAATTGAAAAGGAATACCATGTAGGCAATCATCTCTAGATGACTACCCGAACTGCATGCAAAATAGCCAAGGGTAAATAAGATTAGAGAGGAAAACATATGACTCCAAAGATTAATGAAATGTGTCCCGATTCATAAGGTACTGATTCCAAAACTAGGGAAAGCGTGAGCTATACTGTTGGGATAGGTTTCAATAGAACAATGCTAAGGCCAATGTCTCGGTGACTAGTTTAAGAAGGGCTGTATATAGGATTTTAAACTAATTTTGGAGGGGGATGGTGGAGCGTTTACATTGAAGGAACTGTAAAATATCAAAATAAAACACAGCAGAGATGCAGAGTAATGAACAGTAGAATGCAGAAGACTGCTGCAGAAATCAGAACTAGAGTAAGTAATAATGATAAAAAGCCAAAGCTTAAACCTCTTCAGCTGAATGATAAGATAAAATGACAAAACAAATATAAATAAATTGTATTCTGGAAACGTAGTTATGAGGTGATCAAGAACTCAACACTCAAGGGTATTTGAAGTTCTGGAAAAACAGACAAGCAGGAAAAGGAAGTGAGGTAGATGTGTTAATAAATGGTATCAGTGTGGTGATGAATAATGGTATAGATACAATAGATCATAACATCGAATCAATTTGGATGGAACTAAGAACAAGGGAAAGGTGAAAACAGATGGGCTTTGTCCATAGGCCCCAAAGAGTTGCCTCAGTTCAAGTACCAAATCAGTAAATAATGAAGGAATGCACAAATGGCACTACAATTGTCATGTGCAATTTTAATCTGCATACTAACAGAATAAAATAACACAGAAGATGAATTCGTAAAGTGTATCAGGGATTGTTTCTGTGCAATGTACTGCTGCAAATCTATCCAGGAAGATCCAGTAATGTGTAATAAGCCAGAATTAATGAGAGATCTTAAGTATTGTCTTTGGGGTTGCAAACATAACAGAATTTCAAATTCAGTAGAAAGGAGAGCAACTTGGGTCTCAAACCAGTTGCTTTAGTTTAAGGGTGGAAAATCCACCAAGATATGAAGAATGAGATGTCTAATGTAGGCTCAGAAAACAAACTAAGGGGAAAGTCATAGATAAGCACTGGGGAGACATTTAAGTAGATATTTCATAATACAGCAAATACTTATTCCCGTCAGATGGGCAGATCAGTGGGAGATGAAATTTAATGCTGATAAAGCACAAAATGATGCACTTTGGGAGAAGTAACAAGACGAGAGTATTCAACGAATGGCAGGACACTTAAGAAATTCACGAGGAACAGAAATCTTTGGGTGCTTATCCATAGCTCACTACGGCAAGAGGGCAGATTTATAAAGGAGTGAAGGAGGCATTTGGGACATTTGCCTTTTCCAGTTATGATGCAAGAGCAGGCTAGTTGTATTGGAGCTGTACAGAACTTTGGTTAGACCACAGCTGAAACACTGCGTGCAGCTCTGGTCACCACACTACAGGAAGAACGTGACTGCACTGGAGGGGTTGCCAAGGAAATTCACCAGGATGTTGCCTGGGATGGAGCAGTTTAGCTATGGAGAGAGGTTAGATAAACTTGGATTGTTTTCTTTAGAGCAGGAAAGGCTGACAGGGGATCTGATTGAGGCGTATAAGATTACGAGGGACATAGACAGAGCGGATAAAAAGCAACTGTTCCCAGTACATGGTTAGCAAAGGCAAAGGCAGTGAGTCAAAAAGAGAATCCAATCAAATATAAAAACAAACAGTAAGATTACTATACTTTGTGCTAATTTACTTTGATAATCAATGTTCTCCCCCTTTATTAGGTTTTTAAGTTACCTATTGTTGGTCACTAAAAACAATTTCCAGTTCTGTGACCTACCACTAGCTTTTGCTGCTTCACATCCCTGGTTTTTGACTGGATACTCTCCTTGACCAACTTTATTAATTAGAGGTTCATCCTTCCCATCAAGTCCTTCTTTTTAAACAGAATAAATCTTTGCAGAGCATTATGAAATATCTGCTTCCATGGATATATAAAAAGAGTGTAGTCAAATAAGTGTGTGATCCACAAAAAATGCAACTGGGAAATGCGGAACAGGGAAATGGCAGATAATTTTGCATTGGTCTTTACTGTAGAGGACACTATAAACATCCCAAAGATAACAGATCAGCAAAGTGCTATTAGGAGGATAGATCTTGCAGTCTCTATCGCGAGGGATAAAGTACTTGATGAGCTAACAGGATTAAAGCCAGACAGATTACCAGGACCCAATGATGTGATCTCAAGAATTTAAAGGACATTGCTGCATATATAGTAGAGGTATTGGTGCAAAATGTATTGGATTAAGGTAGGGTTCCAGCAGATTTGAAAACCACAAATGTGGCATCCCTGTTCAAGGGAGAGAGACATAAAGAAAGCAGGAAATTATAGGTAGTTAGCCTAAATTCTGTCAGTTGGAAAGCACTAGATTCCATTAAGGAAGAAATAGCAGGGTGTTTAGAAAATCTTAATGCAAGCGAACAGAGTCAACACGGTTTAATGAAAGGGAAATTAGGATCGATAAGTTTGTTACAGTTCTTTGATGATTTAACAAGCAGAGATGATAAAGGGGAGCCAGTAGATACAGCTTACATAATTTCTAGAAGGCATTCGATAAGGTTCTGCCACAAAGATCATTTCACAAGATGTGAGCTCATGATATTGGGGATAATAATGCGGGTTGAGGATTGGTGAACACACAAGGCAGATTTGGATTAAAGGGACTTTTTCAGACTGAAAAGACATAACAAGAGGAATGTCACAATGATCAGTCCCAGGGCTTCAATTATTTAGTATCTATATTAATAACTTGGATGGGGCAGAGTTCCATGTATTTTAATTTGCTGATGATATTAAAAACAAGTGGGAAGGCATGTTGTGATGAGGATACAAGGAACCTGCAAAGGGATAGAGAGGTTGAGTGAGTGGGCAAAACTTTGCAGCTGCAGCTTAATGCAGGGAAGTATGAGGCCATGTAGTGTATACAGTTTGGGGCCCTGTATTTAAAGGATAGATTGGGATTGAATCAAAAGAGATTCATTGAGCTTAGCAAGAACAACTAAACATGCTAAGCCTTTATTTATTACAGTTTAGAAGAATGAAGGGTGATCCTGTTGAAACATACAAGATAGAGGGGATTTGACAGGATGGATGTGGAGAAGATATTTCCACTGGTGTGGGACATAGTTACAGAATAAGCAGGAACTCATTTATAAGTGATTGAGAAGGAACTTCTTTTCCAAGAGGGAAGTAAATACCTGGAAATCACTACCCCGGAGAGTTGTGGAAACTAGATCACTGACAGTACCTAAAACGAAGGCAGGCAGAATTTGAAAAATCAGGGAGTTGAGGGGTATGAGAAGTTGGCAGAAAAAGAAGAGATGAGGCCTGGGACAGATCAGCCATGGTCTTATTGAACTGGACAGCAGGCTTGAGGCCAAATGGCCTACTCCTGCTCCTATTTCTTACGTTTTTAGATTACAAAATAGGGAGATATAGGATAGCTGTAGGAAGGTGCAAAAGACAAAGAGAGTGGTACCCATGGTGACTTGTGTCATCAGAGGACAAACCTTAAAATTGATCATAAAAATATATTGCACATTTGATTGACATGTGACCCATCACCTTAAACATCCACTCACTCAGCAAAGTGTGCACCACTGCACTGCATTGCCACAGATCGTCAATATTTTCTGAACCCAAGACATTTGAAAACTAAAACAAGGACAACAAATGTATGGGACAACCACCAGATCTGTTCTGCTTCCAGCCACCACCGCCCCCCTCCCAAGTCAAATATCATCCTAATTCCCTCCCTAACAGCATTGTGATGCATCTGTAGGAGTTCAAGGAGTAAGTTGTGTTCATCTCGTTCTGGCATCGTCAGCCTTCAGATTTTAATTTGCTGTGCTACTGGTACTTGGGCCTTCAGCTACATAGGCCCTACGCTCTGGAAATTCTTCCTTTAGCAATTCCAATCCAGTACTTCTTCCTTAATTTAAGTTGCATTTTAAACCTTATTTCTCTAACCAAGCTTTTGGCCACCTACCCTAGTGTCACCTTAGAGATTTCAGTATTGAACTTAGGTTTTACAATGCTCCTGCGAAGTGTCTGCGGTTATTTCATTTTATTAAAACTGCGATAGAAATTGCTGTTGCAATTGGGGATGGTCATACCAGATAGGCCCCACTCCATGAATTAGCTTTTTTTTTAAAAAAATAAGGCTTTGAAAAAATATACCTGCAGGTATACTTACCAGGAACTCATCTCTGATGAAGTACTTGGCTCTTGTGACCCTTGGATCTTCGTCAGGCTCTGGTGATGCTTTAATGAATGAAGTAAAAACAAATTATGCTAATATAAAGAGAATTTAGACTTCAGAATCAACTAAATTTGGTAGCATTATTTTGTATTCAAGAAAGAAATTATACCTCACTGCAAAACAAAGTACTTGTGGAATTTAGCAGGAATCCCAGTGTGTTCTACAAGTCTGCATTTCCCACACAGGAAACAGAATTTGGTACGTCCAAAAATGTTAATCACCCCAAACAGAACTTGCCAAAAGGTACTATCAAAATTTAACAACATTTATGTACATAACCCTGGCATCGAACATGCCATTTAATGGGAACATAGCTTTTAAGAACCTGGTTTTCAATGTAGCAGAGCAGACTTTAAAACCATCTTTACATTTATGATGATGATTGGTAACAGCAGCGCTGGCATGAACCATAATCTACATGTACCACTCTCTCCTGTTCATTCATCCCCATTTCAAATAAATGCAACAATAAATGAAAGATGGACAGAGATCCTTGATTGATAAGTGAGCTCTAGAAGCTCTGCACCATGCGATCACAAGAATGGAAACTGCTAATTGTGACAATGTAATTACCCACCCTACCATTAAACATACCTAAATAGATTGAAATGGGGATTTAATTGTTATGGGTGGTCCGGTTCAATGATAACCCAGTCTCCTAATTCAGCTTCACCTAGTCTGGGCAACATTATTGGAGAGAATGAATTGTATGAATAGAACTAAATGTTTCAGATTATGAAGAATCATTTATTAGATTATAACCCAGGTGCAGTGTAATGAAGGTTAAAACCTGTAGGAGTTAGCTGCTTCCACCAGATGCAAGAAATATAAAGCTCCAAGATGACATGTACACATCTTATGGAAAGGCAAAGATATAGCTTAGTTTAGTAAAGATCTAATTGATTGAATTTTGCTACAATCCTTTGATGAGGATGTGCTTCATGGAGACAGGTTTTCAAGTGATCAGTGGGATAACTTATTCCATTCAGTATATGATAGGGCTGTTTATGATTATGACCTATTTGGTGACATTTGCCAGAAAACTCAGGACATTTAAGAAAGGACTTACAAGAATAACAAAAGCCAGTATCAATTTAACAGTAGAAATTAAAGTTAGGAGAGATGGGTAATAGATATCTGGTTCAATATTATGCATCATACACTATTACTCCAAGTCAAAATTATCCCCAATATGGCTGAACTAGTTTGATGTTGTGGAAATAGTGTGAATATTTATACTGTGTATCCTTTTCTTACCATTCAGAAATAAAACTACTTATATACTAGTAAGAATTAAGCATACTGCACAATGATGCAACATTGTCACCTACTGGTGTAGCAGCATATAACACACAAGAATCATATCACAGTAGCCTTCAAGTTAATAGGTACAAAGCAAATCACCCAATGTTCCTTGGGAACTGTTCATTCAGAACATTAAGTTTTGGACAAGACGTAATTCAAGTCTGTAGACTGCTTGGTGAGGTGCAAATTTTTTCAGTAGCCTACTCTCTGTACTAATTTTATAATAAGATGAGTTGGATCCCCTGTCCATGTGTAACTTTTACATGAAAAATTCCATTAAAAGGAACATTATTCTGCTTGATTTCAGAATAAGATTGTTTTCACTTGAAAGCTTCCACCAGTTTGAAATAGTAAATGAATATAAGGCACATTCACAGCAAGACAGGAAAAAGGTAAGGGAGAGAAGGGCAAGAGAAAAAGCAACTTCGATTTATCCACATCTTGCTTTATTTTAGTTTTTTGGGGGGTGGAGGGCAGAGGAGGAGATAAACTGGAAGTAGTTTTTATTCTTTTCCATACCTCACCATTAACACAGCATCTACCCTAAGTTACAGGGTAACAAGGCCCTTGTAGTTCTGCTTTGTGTTGGCAAGTTCCAGATTTCTGCTCAGAATGAATCTCAATAAGTATAGAAAATTAAATTTCTGCAAACCACTAATGAAGGAGAAACTTCAACCAATGTCTCATTATAAAATAAAAACATGCTCACCATCATCAGGTGTAGTGTAACGAGCAAACTCAGGAAAGTAGTCCTCAATTTTAGATTTTCCTGCCAATACTTTCTCTGCCAGTAAATCCTGCTTATTTAGGAAGAGAATTACAGAAATGGTCCGCAGCCACCTAGATTGAAAAACAATGCTCATTCAGTAATCAACATTCCAAATAAACAGAACAATTTCTTACATCTATACTAAATTTGGCTCATTTACAAGTTAGGATTTCCTTGTGTTGCTGCAGCATCAGCTTTCCTCCCACTTGTTACAATTCACTCAGCCCAGGAGAGTTTCATCTCGAATATCAATTTTGTGAAAACCTTTTGCTGCAAGTCCTGTCCCTCATTTCATTTGTACACCCAATATACTGTGCTACTCCCAAAAGGTGTACTCCATTTAAACATTGATAAATTTAACACAGTTCCAGTTTAGTCTAATTCAATCAAGCCAACTAGCCTTTAAACCAAGAATAAAGTCCATAAATCATGCCCTCAAAAATTGGAATTTTTGCCAGAGGTGGTACCTGTATAGCACTCCTCCATCACCAGTACCTGCCAAGAAGTGCAGGGTGTGAAGTCATACTTCAGACAAGACCGAGGGTCTGAATTTTTAGCTGCCATTTCAGCACTAGAAAATGAAGTTTTCCATAACAACTGGCCTCTAAGAGACGAAATAAATAACAGCAAGGTATCATGAAGAAAACAGACCTTAATCCGTAAACTGTGGATCTCCACTTCAGCACTCTCTACTGGCACTTTAACAGATATGGTAAGGGCATTAGCTCAATAAATGGGCAAGCAATTTTGACTTAATTTCAACTTGGTATTAGTTTTCAGTGCAGAAGCCTGAAATTATTGCATGACCATTCAGAAGTGAAATCAGGACACACTTTTCAGAAACACAAAATTTACAAATTATTTTTCCTCATTTCTCCGCTCTAAATGGAACAGGTGAAATGCAAATTTTAAGCTGTAATACCTTCACGATAAAACAAGTAGAATGAGAATCTTAATATTACTGGGTTCATGAACACTTAAAAGGCAGTAAGTCAACTTGTGCAGTTTTCCTTGGTTAATTCCATGGCACAATAGTGGGAAGGAAGAGAATGGACTTTTGCATAGAGACTCAGAATGAACAAGGGTGTGTCAGTGGTGAGGGGGGTTTTGGAGTTGGGATGGAAGCATGAAAGAGTGAGGTGGGAAGGCCAGGTGTCTTGGGTATGGAGGAGAAAACCAGTTAAGACAAGAAAGTGATGGGCCTAAAGAGCAATGTCAGTACTCTGCAGATGTGTATCCATCAGAGGCTGCTGGCTAGCAAAATCCTTACAGGTTCCGAGTTCAGCTACAGCATTTCAATTATCCCACCAGTAAGAGTAATCTCGAGCCAAGTCCATAACAATATACAGAAGCGAAGGTCAGTTGAGTCTGCAGGTTCATCCAAGTCACACAGAGTACAACATTTGGCACCAAATGAACATTCAATAAAAAATAAATGGTAAAAGCAAAAAATCGTTTCTTTCACAAAGGACTCAGCTGACTCCTCTGTAACCAACATGTGCCAAACATGAGGCACGTCACTACACTCAGCTTTCTAAGCTGATCTCATCAAATAATAATGCTGTATACAATATGGTGAAACCAATGTAACATGAAATATGTACAAGCGAAACTTAATTTTGCAAAACACTCCTATGCACGTCTTATGTCAATGACAATGCAGCTGGGCAAAAAAGTTGTGGCTATGATTCAAAGATTCTCTGTTTGACCAGGAGGGTCTTTAATAGGTTGCCTCAATGGAAAGTTTCCCCACATGCGCACTTCTAGCACTTGGAATATTAATTAGAATTGCAAGGGAAATGGCAAAGAAGTGGGAGTGGCACACAGTTCCAGTTATGATGCCAGGAATGACATCAGGAGTGACACACTTGATAGAATTCCAGCCTGTGTGATATGTAAAGGTACTGAAGGGCACAAAGACAGATAAATAGAGTTGATACACATATCAACTATGACCTAAGTGCAATTATTAATTCTAGTTCCTGATGCTCCAATACAGTATGACAGCAGTTATACATTTACCTGTTGTTCCAGATACTTTTGAACAAATTAAGAGCTTCTTGGAGACGATTGGTCTGATTGTCTTCTCGTATAACCATGTTGTAACTACTGCTTGCCACCACAAATATGATAGCAGTGACATCTGAGGAACAAATATGGGATGAGGTAAATTAGTTAGAAACAGTTTAAAAAAAAAACCAAGTCTCCATGACTTTGCCTGTAATATGACACATTTATTCAATTCAGTATTAAACATGAATGAGACTGTTTAGAACAGACATATATGCTCAGAAGATCAGTTTTGCTAAAATGTGTTATATTCTGTGCAATAAGTAAAGGAGCTTTCAAGTCAACTTTTAATTCTCCATCAATTTGAAATAAGATCTTTGAAAACTTCAGCAAAATGGAGACAATGGCATAGTCTGGAAGAATCAAATACTGTGTTCATAGAAACCCAAACTAAAGCTAACAAAGCACACATGGGGATCTTCTAAGAGTCCTTTACTCATTCACGGGATGAGGGCGTCGCTGACCAGGCAGCATTTATTGCCCATCCCTAACTGCCCAGAGGGCAGTTAAGAGTCAACCACATTGCTGTGGGTTCTGGAGTCACATGTAGGCCAGACCAGGTAAGGATGGCAGTTTCCTTCCCTAAAGGACATTAGTGAACCAGATGGGTTTTTCCAACAATCAACAATGGATTCGTGGTCATCATTAGATCCTTAATTCCAGATATTGATTGAATTCAAATTCCACCATCTGCCGTGGCGGGATTCAAACCTGAGTCCCCAGCATGTTATCTGGATCTCTGGATTAACAGTCCAGCGATAATACCACCAGGCCATTGGAATTTTCGCTGAATTGGTGTAGGATAGGAAGTTAGCGTAGATTGTCCTGGAGCCACTAAGTAAACGGGAGGGCAAAGGAGTGGACGAGGCTTTGGTGGTAGAAGTTAGAAGCAGAGATTAATAGATAATATTTGAAGGTAGAAACAAATGATCTTGTCCGTGGACAATGTGTAGCGAATGAAACCCAATTCTATAATGGCCAAAAAGCCAAATTTGCAAGAAGTCTTTAGGAAAGATCTGCCTTCTATACCTGCTCTGTCCTATGTGTGATGATGGAACCATACCAATTTGACTAAAGTGAACTTAAAAAGTGATTCACCTGTGACAGTAAAGGCTCCAAATGAGAACATAATTCTGTCTAGCATTTAATTGGAGGAAATTCTGGTTCATCCACTCTTGACAATAGGCAAGTTGTCATGGAAGACTGACACATTATTGGTAATGGGATTAAATCTATGGATACATAACATGTCTAAGTTTAATGTAGCTACCACATTGTAAATTACATGTCATTTGTGCACAGAACATTGTAGGTCTTTACAATGTAAGCACCAATTATGTATCCCAATCTTTTCCTGTTCAGCCTATTCATTAATTATACACTCACTTTCTTCCCTGCTACTTTTTGCCAGCCTCCTCTTTCGCATCCATCCTTTTTATTCTTGGTCTATTCCTTACTAAACCTGGTTTCTGTCTTTCAGGAAATTCTCTCTCTTCACTCTGGTTTCATTTTATGGGGTTTGTTGATGTAAACAATGGGGCCTGTAAACACAGATTAAACTACTAAAAATTTTGCACAATTTCAACTTCCTCTGAAGCAATATAACGCACTAAACAAATCCAACAAAAAGTTTCAAAAAAGAGACATTTGTGGCATTTTACTAAGGAAGTTTGACGTACCAAAAAGAAGAGAGACATCAGTGCTTTAGCACAGCTTTTTTTCAGCCAGTGGATCCAGGTTAAATGCTGAGTTTTGGGTCATATTAGTCAGATTTAAATGTGGCAGTATTGAGGTCTCAAATTGGTATTAGTATCAATTGAGTTATTAAGGCAAATCAACCTGAGTTCTCACCCATAAATGCTATCTGCATGATTTTTCTGGAAGTGGTGATGTGGGTATTGGGTGAGCAGTACTGGGTTTGGTCATGTCATACCAAAAACATTGTCTAGTTTTGGTATAAGCTCCTGGGGAAACCTACAGAGGCACAACATCAGGGGATCATCCCATCTTTTGGGATTTGCTAAATTCTTTACCATACAAGTGCATGGTGTTGCAGACTCTAGGCATCTTATTCTGCTTACATCTGCCCTTTATTCTAGAAAAAGAAACAGACATACTTCTGAAAGCTTCATCATTCCAGCTCGAAGATTGAAGAAATTACTCAAACAGGATGAACCGAGTCCACACTAGCCTCTCACTTCTAAAGAGATGAAGCAGCGAGTTGGACAAAAGCCTGGTGAAACCCAAGCTATGTGAAACAAGCAACACTAAGTTTGACAATAAAGCACTCTTCCCTCAAGTGTTGCCATCAGCTTGACTTCCAAACCATCAAATATACACTGGCGAAGAATCTTCCCTTATTAATAATACTCTTCTTACCAGAAATAGCCTCCAAGAAACTTCACTTTCAGCTCTTACCATTGAAACACTGAATCCACTTCCTGCGCTCGTCTCGTTGCCCTCCGACATCAAACATGCTGCAAAAGCAAAGTTTTGAACCATTTTAACAAGATTAAAGTAGCAGGCAAGACCGATTTCTTTAAACCGAAGACCATTCACAATCACAAAGTTCTTCAACCAATGCTGAACCGGAGGAAAACAAAACAAATGAACTTGTCAAATTTTGTCCAATCAATAAGCCAACTGGTGTAATATTTTCATGGACCACATTGGAAACATTTCAGTGTTCTGCTGTCACTTTTCAGTTAGGAACACTGGATTTTTTGGTGCAAGCCAGTCACTGATCTCCGTAACAACTCCAGCAGATATTGGAACTAAGCTAGATATATTAAATGGATAAACTGAAAGGCATTCACAGGCCACACAGTTCTAATTTTCACAAAGCATCAACTAAAACATTACAGTACAATATCTGGCAGAACGTATCACATTATTCCTTAGTTAATGGAACTTTATCTTATTCCAACAGCTTAAAATGACAAAAGCTATGACAATTAATTTGCACGTACAAAGCTGACAAAATGAGAAATGTTAGCTGGAAAAGCTCAGCAGGTCTGGCAGCATCTGTGAAGGAGAAAACAGAGTTAACGTTTCGGGTCCGGTGACCCTTCCTCAGA